TATATTTTTTTTGATTTTAATTCTATAAATGTTTAAAAAAAATTATAGTGTTTTCTTTTTCACTCTAAAACTAACATTGGCACTTAACAGAAATGTTATTATATTTATCTTGACATACCAAAGGCATTTTATTAAAAAAATATTCAAAAAAGAATGTGAAAAGGTATGGAATGCATGCAACTATCTTCTCTTAAATTGAGTATCTTTTATGGTTTGCGTTGATATATTCATGAAAATATAATCACAAAAGAAAGGCTTTAGAAAGTGCAACTTAAAAATATTTCTGATGTGAGTGTGGCAACCTTAAAACATGCTGTTAACACTATGAGAAAATGTATGGAATTTATATGCAAATGTGCTTACATTGGCACACGTAGGCACACACATACACACACACACGCAAGCTTGCATTTCTCTTCGTACATTTGTCACAAAGAAATAGGCGTTAGCAGCAAAATATGGCATAACGTGTTTCATTCAATTGCCGCAGTAAATTTACATAAGAGAGAATGCAATAAAGCAACAACAACAACTACAACAGCAATAGCAATAGCAATAGCCACAAAAACAAGAAAGCAACTGACCACCACAACATGTTACCACAAGAGCAACTAAGTTAAAAACACAAAAGTAAAAACAAAAACAACTTCAAGCACGTACTTCTATTAGATCAGCTCAAAGAAAAATATTTCAATATACTCTGACATATATTCACGCACACATAGACAGACTCAAATACGGACAGCTAGCTTATATGAATAGAGCTTTTTTTAACGAACTTCGGCTTCGTATAATTCAAACAGTTAAGTTTCGTTTTTGTATTTAAATCGCACATTGTGGCTTCAAGTGTTTCGGGCTGAACACGTTTAGGGCTAAACTTTTATATTAATTAAAAGCGGAACACAACTTCTGGTAGTGCATTTTGTGGTTTTACACGTTTCACCCTACATCTTTGTAGTAAATATGTGTGCATATGTATGTACCATTATCACTAAGGCTCTGTATGTAAGAGTGTATATATATCGTTATTGTTGGTGTTTTCATACGAGTTCTGTATGTTAGTTTTTGCAAAAATGAGATTTCTGGTTTTTTTGTTGCAAAAAATATAGAAAAAGTTCTCAAGTGTCATTGTTTTGAAGCAATCATAAATTTCCATCAACACATTCACACCTGAAGGTGTTTTTCTATGTGCGTGAATGTAGTTGTGTTTAGTTATAAAGTGAACTACGAGGGAAAATGTTTACACATTATGCATGGTTAGATATTAAAAGTTCTAGTCTGTCATTTATTTTTGCTTTTTTTATAAAATAGTTTTAAAAAAAAAGCGGCAATAAGGCGAAGAGCTGTAGTCGGTCGTGGGAAGTATGCTTAAGGAAGTTGTTAGGAATTAATATACAGGTATTGTCTTATCTAAGTTGAAAACGGGCTTGAGTGAAATAATGTGATAAAGGAACATAGCTAGATCAATTTGTCTCGTAGAGTTTAGACCAGACTTGGTTAGGTTTTTCAATGCATCTTAAACTATTACCAACAACATTGATAGATGTATATATTATAATTAAAAAATGATTCAGTAATTAATATTTCGAATAGTAGTGAACTACAACAACAAAAATTCATTTTATATTATTTTATTTAATTGAATTTTTGGCTGACCATACCGCTGTTTCGAGTATTGCTAAATATCTATCATTAGTCTTGGAAATAATTCTTGTATTTAATTTTGCATAAATAATTTTTTTGAGACTGCAAGTATCAGGAACCAAAATCGTGTCCTATCAAATTTGAAGCTCAGAGTCAGCGCACCTTAACCAACTTACTCAAAGCCGTATATATATATATTGTTAAAAAAAATAATCAGGCATTAATATTAGTACTATTACATTTTAAATTAACAATTTATCAAAAATATTGCAACAATAATATAAATGCGAAAAATATGTTCTTTTTAGTAGAACCTAATGATTAATTAATTTAAAATAGTTTTAATTTTAAATAAAAAATTAATATTTTTTAGGAAAATTGCAGTTTTATAAAATGCTGCTAAAATAATATAATTTCATCAAAAGTAATTTTTGAAGTAGAATTTTATGATTAACTAATTGAAATTAATTTAAATTAAAAATAAAAAACAAAATAATATTTTTGAGGAAAAGTGCAGTTTTATAAAATGCTTCTAAAATAATATGATATAATCCCAAAAAAAAATATTTTTTAAGTACAACTTAATGAAATTTGGTGGATCGAGAGTAAATCAAGATTGAATCGAATCCATATGATTAAACTATTATAAATAAACTGTTATAAATAAACTGTTATACTAATATTTATTCCTAATTTTACTTTTTTATTCTTTTAATTTTTGTAAAATCTGTGCAACCTTAAGGGAACACTATAATTATAATATATAATAATATTAATTGCATATCATTTATCGGTAAAATGTTTTTAAAATTATATTACACAGATGACTTTGCACTAATTATGCTTGCAAAGTATGTAGTTCCAAGCATTTTTCTATATTGCTTCTTTCCAACTTGACTTCTGTCCACACATATAAGCACACACACACTTAATAAAAACTACACCCACAAGGGGAGATTTTTGTTAATGTGCGAAAAATGGTTCTCAAATGTGTTAACTCAATTGGGTTTTAAGCTAACAAATGATGTTTAACTAGCCAACAAATATACACACTTTCCTAAAGTAAATAAAAAAAACTTACTTTTTACTATTTTGTTAACCTTTTTGCTCCACTTCAGCTCTTCCGTTTATGCTTCTCGAATGTTTTGACATGTCAGTCGACAAATTGTCATGCATAATTTTTATTATTGCTCTAATATTTTGTTGTTATGACAGCCCAGTAAACCCTGTTAAACGCATTAAAATCTGAAAGGGCACAAGAAAAAGGGTTTCCCCTTCCTTTTTTTTGTCTTGTGTGCTATTATTACTATTATTATTATTCATATTTTCCTACTCCATTATGGCATATGCATATATGTGTAGCATTATGTCATGACGTGTTATTATTTTTTTGTGATTGTGATTTTCTTGCTGCCGTTGTCGTCACATTAGTGATTTTATTTGTTTATGCAACAAATAAGCTGACTAAGCCAACAACAATAGCCCCAATAGCCCCCGATAGGAAACGTTCTCAAGGAAATAAATAAAAATTATATTAAATTTAACATCACAAAGGAGTTGGTGTTTATTTATGGCAACATATGGTGACGACTTTGACTTTGATTTGATTATTTCTTTATTGCACAGAAAAGTTGTACATAATTTGTTAAGTAATTTTTTAAAAAAATCATTTAAAAAACTTTTATTTATAATATAATTAAACTAATTGCTTACTGCTCTACTAAAAAAAGCGATACGATAAACGCTACTATCAATTTTTTTCTTCATCTTGAAAGAAAACCCTTAATAAGTGGTGTGATAGTGGTTAACTCTGTAACTAAGATCACGACAGCCACGATTATAGACTGAGATGATGGCGATATCAAAATATCTGTTATTGAAGTATAGCATGAGATTTTGGGATTGTTTGAAGCGCATGGTTGCATGATGTCGTTAAGGAGAGTGCTATAAGTTGAGACGTCGGGTGAAGGGTTATGCAACCAAATAAGGTACCGTCAAGCGAGTGTCAGAAGGTAATCGTCGATGCGAGTAACTAGAGGCTTCTCGTCGATGCGAGTAACTAGAGGTTTCTCGTAAAGAACGGAGCCGCGTAAATGCTTATAAGCGAAAATCCGGTACTGTGCCGTATACGAAGGCTGAACGCTACTGTTGTTCCTTGCAGTTATATGCTCTAACCGTCATTGGAGCTTAATTGTTAATTACCAAACCGAAAAGAAGAGCTCTAGCTGTGCATATTTGCGACACATTTTTAAGTAGTGAATTTTCATAATACTAATGCTGTGAAGAGTACTTAGTCTTAACATTAAATTTTTAATTTTAAATTAAAGATTTAAAAAAATATACAAAACCAAAAAAAATTATTGTTAAAAATTTATTAAATAATTAAAATCAAAATAACAAAATCAAAAAATTAATAATCAAAATTTATTCTACCAGGAAATTCAGTATTTATTATTTAATCCAATTAAATATTTAATGTTAATTAAAATATTTCTAAAATATTTAAGTTTTTGTCCTTTTAATAAATATTTGTATAAAATATATAAAAATATTAATTAACTATTTAATATAAATTAAAATATTTCTTAAATAATATAGTTTTGTCCCTTGAATAAAGATTTATATAAAAAATACAAAAATAAAAAATTATTATCAAACACTTAACTTAATAATTAATAACTATAAAGTTTAAAATTTAATTTAATTAAATATTATTTTAAAATTAAAATAATTCTCAAAAATAAATTTTCTTTAATAGAGATATATACAAAATATATAAAAATATAAAATACATTAAAATAAAAAATTATTATTTAAATTTTTTTATAAAAATTAAATTATTTAATATATATTATATAAATTAAAATAATTGTAATAAATTACAATAAATTTCGAATAAAAATTTTTACCCTTCAATTGATAATTAGAAAGCTATTAATAAAGATTTATTAATTAATAAAGTATAAAATTTTTTATTTAATTACATATTTATAAGTGATAAAAAAAAATATTTCTCAATTAAACAATATTTTACCCGTTTAATAAATATTTATATAAAATATTTTTAATTAATTAATTATTAATTAAAATTGTTTAAATAATTAAATTTAATATTTGTTACTTCATTGAAATAAGTATTTATAATTAATGAAAACAGTTATTGAATTTAGAACATATAAGCAATATAAGTCCTAAATAAGACATATAGTGTTCTACATAGTGTCATCTACACAACATTAAATTACAAAAAAAAACATGAGTAATATATTTTATAATTGCATTAACAAAACTTATTTTAATACTAAATGAAAAAATCTTTTTTATCTTAAATTAATATTTTATCAGAAGTCCATTGACTTATATTTTAATAGTTAAAAGTATTGAAAGTGAATTATATATCTACTACATGAGATGCATAACTTTACTTTAATTATCTTCATTTTCCAATTCATCTTCAACATCCGTCTCAAGCGATGATAAATCACTTTCCATATCAACATCATTTTCTGCATCAGTAACATCTTCTTCATTTTGTGAATCTTCTGAATCTGCTATCAATTCATTATTACAAATTTCAGAAAGTGGTTCGTTGACTTCTGCTTGATCATGCCCTAACATATGCGGTGGTTGATCGGTTGTTTCTTTATCATTCTCTAGCGTACGTGACGGTTCATCGTTTCTTGTGCCATTAACCCACATTACATCACTCACACTGGATGATTCATCTGGAACATCTTCCATTTCATCATCTGATATAATATCTACTTCGTATAATTCTAAAAATATATCAACGTAGCCAACGTGCATGTCATGGGATGAAACATCCGCCGCTTCATAGTCTTTCTAAATACAAATATTAGTGACACATAAAATATATTTGAATATAATATTTAAAGCAATAATTACTCCTATTTCTTGAAATCCTTTGCTGCACAATGGACAACGCTTTTTTAACATATTTTTATTTGCAAACGTCACGTAGTCTACAAGACACTGCACGCAATAGATGTGCTTGCATGGCAACATCTTCTTGTCCACTATTTGATTGAGACATATTGCGCAATTGTGGTGTTCATCCATATTTAAACTCTACTGGTATAAAGAATACGTATAATTAATTTATTATTACAAACAATACTTTCACCGAAATAGCACTTGATAGAAAAGCTTGTTCTTTTCGCAACACGTTTTTAGACTTTTTTTGACTACACCACAATTTATAAAGGTATAGTTTCAATGTCACAGCTAAGCATATATATATAACAAACAGAATTGGTTTCATGCTATATTAACACTATGTGTTTAGCAAAAATAAAAAAGTGAACCTGTATTTGTAATCAAAAACTTTAATGTTGAAATAATTATACTTTAAGAAAGCCACTAACCCGGTCAACCTTATAGAAAACAATATAGACGATTATTTTTCCCAAAGTTAAATAGGAAGGAACCAAAGAACACTTTTTTTTTGGTAAGAACCAATTAAACATTGACTTCTTGACGTAAACAACGGGGGAAATCACATATCAGCTGAAGCAAGCATTGAGCGATTGCAATGCATTTCTTTGTGTGCGTCCTATTCAGTGATCGGATTGAATCTGAGTTGTGTTTGCATGTTAATCTGTTTATTATAGCCTTCATTTATTTCAAGAAGAAAAAAAATTTTTTATTATCATTTGATTGTAATTTATTTAATTTAATTGAAATTATAACGATTCGGCATTTATTTATTTGAAAAAATATCAACAAATAATTTAAAAAACCACATTTATTTCAAATTTTTTAATTTTATTTGCGTATATCAATAACTGATTTTCTTAGAAACATAGTTTTTTTGTTTTGTATGACGATTTCCCATCTATCAAATTCATTTTACCTATATTTGGCCTCTAATAATATGATGTTCCCACTGCAGTTATAGCTAATTATGTTAATAAAATCAAGAGTTGGTCGAATTCATTAGCACCGATTTATTGATTAGCATAGAATTATGCATGTGAAAGAAATTATTTGTTCACATTTTACATATAAAACACATGACAAATATTTAAATTTTCGGTAATTTCCCTAGTGGAATACTTACTTCAAGGGTTGCAGTCGACATTTTTCGCCTTAAATCAGTTGAATTATTTATATTAAGCACATTTATAGGAAAGCTCTTTGTATGCTAAATTATCCTCATTAGCGGCCTTAATGAGAAAAATTTCCTAAATGAGATATGTGGAAGTATGGTATATAACGTTAGCTACCTACTGTTGCCTCCATTCGCTTTGAACTATTTTTTGATTACAGTTTTTTTTGGTAATTTTATTAATTTATTTTTGTTTAATAATTTAAAAGTAATAAAATTTCTTTTTGTTTAGGAATAAATATATAAAAACCTGTATTTACTTTCTAGTTGCCACCTTCAAGTTTTTTTTTTTGAAAAAGTTAGTGGATGAAGATTTGAAATAAAGAAGCAATAGGCCTGTTTCACGAACTACTCGTAGTAAAACTCAAGTAAAACACAAGTAAAGTACAAATTGTGAGCGTAACACAAATAAAGTGCAAAATTACGCTCTTTACACAAACTTTCATGGAACAGTTTTGTGTAAAGTCTGGTGAGAACGCGAGTAACGCGCAAATAAACAACACAAAAACTTAAATTTAAAGCAAAACAGCTGATTTACAAATCAACACAAATTTTACTTGAAATAAAATGTACGAGTAAAGTCTGTGTAGCATTTTAAAATTTCAACAGGGATATTACGCTCTCTTAGATGCTCTCATTTACTCGAAATGGTGGAACTCGCTTATGTATACACAGTATTACTCAAAGTTACTACAAGTAGCTCGTGAAACAGACTTAATATTTATTCATGGAAATTGTAAATAAAGACTTTTAAATTCGGCATCATATATTTAAAATTTGGGGGTTTCTAAAAATATTAAGTCGCTAATAGTGTGATTGTAATGATTATGGACACTATCACAGCAATTTAATTGTAGGTTGCCTTAAGGCATTCTTGGGAACTAGATTAACTATATATATTAACTATATATTCATTTATTCTCTATTGAAACCTGAAGACGTCTTAAATGTAGAAAATGTTACAGTATGTTTAGAATATAATAGTCAATAAATTAAATTAAAAATATTTTACATTATTTTTGTTTAGTTCTTTTTTTATATATGGTTGTTTTAACTTTATTTTATATTAATTAAAACTTATTTTTTGATTATTCGAACTTTTATTAGCATTTCTTCACACTCTACTAGCAAAAAGTAAATATCTCAATAAAATTTGGTTATAAATTTTTATTAAAAATGCTTTCACAAAAAATAAATGTGTATTTTTAAAATTCAGTATGAAAGAAATTAATATTACTTGTAAACTATAAAGAAAAAACAATAAACAACAAACAACAAATAACAAACAGTAAACAAACAATTGCAATTTGATGAAATATTGCCAAAAATTTTACTATTTTACTATTTTACTATCGATATCAATACAACTTTATGGAATACAACCCTGCAGTTGATGCAAATTTTTGTTTTTGCCTTTCCATACTCTGATGTTGCTAGCACTTAGAGTGAATGTGTATGTGTGTGTTGGGTGTATGCCTTTATGCATTCCGTTATTGCAGTTGCTACTGTTGTTGTCTTTATTATAATAGCTTTTGTTGGTCTTTTAAATACCCACACGAGTACTTGAGCTCTGCTCTTTGCTGCTCTGTTATTTAACTTTGTGCTGTTGATTTCAAGTTGTTATTATTGTAGCTGCTGTTGTTGTTTTCTTTATTTTTAATATTAAAGTTATTTTCTGTAAATTTATTTGCTATTTTCCTTCGCAAGCTAATGCAATATTTTATCTTGCATTATTTTTACATTTTTATTTTTTACACAATTTTGGTATTTTATGTTCTTGTGATATTTGTTTGCTTATTTACATTGTTTTTAAATTTTATTTACAAATTTCTTTACATATTTTTCAATTTTTGTTTTTTGTGCTTTGTTTTGTCTTTATTACTTATTTCCTTCAACTGCATTACTTGGCGAATGTCAACAGCAAACAGAATATTGCACTTATATTTGTTTGTTTATATTGTTGTTGTATTCTTTGTTTTTTTTTCCTTAATTTTTTTTTTGTGTTCCTTTCGGTGTATTATTATTGTTATCGTTAATGCTGTAGTAGTTGGTTCTGTACTTCGCAGAGAAGGTATCAGTTTGTTGTATGCTTTTTGCTCACGGCATAATACATCAACAACGAAAAAGCAATTGGCTAGAAAGCTATTTCTGCTTGTCATTACTGCGCTGTTCTGCGCTCCGCTACGCTCGTTACTGCTAGGTGGAGTAGCAATGAATATTTTTTTTTATCCTCGTACATATTTCCTTAGTTGTTAGTGTTGGTTTTTCAATTGCGTTTCTTCTTGATGCCTTTCTGACATTGTTTTCATGCTGAAATGGTGATAGACTTTACTCATAAACTTTAGCATACAAACAAACACTCACTCGCAAGTTTATATGTGCATGCGTTTGTATGCCAGCCAATATGTATGCATAAATATGTAGCAATTTTTTCTTTGCACTTTTATTTATATTCCTTCACTGTAGTGTACTTGTATGTATGTATAAAGTTTCATCGGCAGGCATAAAGATGTGTGTGTAGTGTTAACTGCATACGTATAAATGTGTGTTATGTTGTATTGCTTACTTATATCGTAAATTTCTTGATTGTTTTTATGCAAATTTATGTATGTTTTATGTTGATTTCTTATCGAGCAATATATACGGTCTCTCTTTTAAGCACTCCGTATCGCTCTAGGGCACATGTTGCATATCCTTAAATTGCTCATTAAGTCTTTATAGATTTCTTTAACTACTTCCTTACAAATTTCATATTTTTATAATACTCTTTTATGGTGAAATAGCTTAGGTCATCGACCAGTAGGAATAAAGAAACAGGGACTGAATGCTATATAGTTATGAACTATAAATTTAATAAAATATAATCGACATTTTTAACACATATATATACCTACACAAATAGTTTGTCTTAGCACATCAGTTTAGCAAAAGAGGTTTAAGTATCAGATAAGAATACAACAAAGCCCCTATATAGTACATACGATCTACAAGACCCTTTATAAAATGTACGAGTTTAACAAGAGATTTGAGTATCGGATAAGAACATAACTGAGACCTTATAGAATAAATAGAATCATGATAAGAGATTTGAATATCAGATAAAAAAACAATCGAGACCCTATATAATATGTACAAGTTTGACAAACAATTGAGATATCAGATAAAAAAACAATCGAGACCCTATAGAATATGTACAAATTTGACAAGAGATTTAATTATCAGATAAAAAAACGGGCTAGACTCTATATAGCATACGTGAGTTGGACAAAAGGTTTGGATATCGGAAAAATATAACCGAGACCCTGTACAATATATACAAATATATACAAAGAGATTGGAATATCAAATAAGAATACAAGCGAGATCCTATATAATATATAAAAAATGCGCTTCAAAGCAAACAGGGCTTAAGTATTATATATATATATTTTTGTTTGATTCTACACATAATTTGTTGTTGATGTTTAAATATTATAATATATATATACATATTTTTTTTCCTACATTAACTTTTCGTCATTTTCTTTTGCAAACCAACAACAATTTTTCAAATATTTAACCGAATACATTATTTATTTCTTATATAACACAACAAAATATTTTGATTGCAATATAGATATAGATTGGCACTCTACACACTGACTTTCACTTCTCGGACATTAGTTTCCCACTTAACTAATCTGGCAATCAAACAAAAATGTCTGAACATAGGTATACAAATTTGTTCAGATGAACCCTCCTGTTAACGCCATAGTCTAAACTGGACAAGAAACGTATCGGTCATCTGACTTCATCTGCAGCATCTGCTTTAACTGAAACATTACCTGCTTACATGAAGACATAATATGGGTCTGGGTTTACCGTACGATGACTTTTGTTGGGATTGTGGATTTGTGAATGAAGAGGATTCCATTTCATTTGTCAATGTTTTCTTACCCACCTAATAGAACTGTCATTCTGCAAAAAAAAAATGACGTGGTAGTATGGCCACGTCTAAAATTCAATAGGCATCACCCGATTCTCTTTAAAGTGTAAATGGTATTGAGTGAGTTTCACTTGACCTAAAATTT